TGCTCATCTGGTCAGCGCTGTCTTCCCTGTGTGCAAACTGCTCATCTGGTCAGCGCTAATGTGCCAACAGAGACAACAAGATCAGATCACTTTATTGCATTAGATCTTTTCCCAGACCCCAGCTTGCTCTCCATGAGACACACAGACAGGGAGAGAAGCTGGGGGTCAGAGCGCAGGGTCAGCCATTTATACAGCACCCCTAGAGCAGCTGGGGTGAAGGGCCTGGCTCGGGGGCCCAACGGAGCGGGACTCCTCTGCTGGCCTCTGGATACGAACCGGCAACCTCCCAGCCCCAGGCGCAGATCCTGAGCCACTGAGCCACCGCTCTGCCCTGGGAGCGCTGCATGATGGGAAACTGCAGCTTCGGCTCTCACTCCATGGTTTCTGCGCCGTGTCAGCTCGGCGTTTTGAACGCCCGAGTTCGCCGCTGGTCCCCCATCTCCACAGGAGGCCTGTGGCTCCCCTTGCCTCTCAGCAGGGGCCCTCCATCTGGCTTTGATCCATCTCTGCAGAGGTCTGCAAGCCCCCCCTGACCGCACGGTTAGACAAGTCTGGCCTTGGTCATTAATGGGGCCAGTGTGACGAGCAGGGCCTGAGGCGGTCACGTCAGGGACAGCCCGCCGGACAAGGGGAGACCCCGCGGCACTGCGCCATTTCGCTCCGTGTGCAAGATCCAGCTGTAAAACACCGCGCACGCAGCGATGTACGTGTGATGCGTTGGCCCGTCTGCGTGATGACGTCGCAGGGACGTGTCTTTACGGCCCCGCGGTGCCTTTGAGACAGCGGGGAGCAGGTCTGGGCTCTGGAGCTGACGTCTGTGGGCGGCCCGTCCCCCGGGGCGCTGTGGCTGTGAGGCGGCAGGGAGGACTGATGGGAAGAGACGGGCTGTCACCTTAATCCGCTGGCAGGCCTCCAGCCCGTCGCTGTGGATTAAGATCTCCCGCAGCCAGTCCAGCACGGGGCAGCAGCTCTGCCAGCTGAGCGACGAGGTCTGGCCCGAGCACGCCAGGCGCCCTGTCCACAGCGCAGATATAAACGAGAGGAGCCAGTCAGGCCGCCTCGTCCGCTCGGCTTAGTGAATTGATCCCAGGATCTCATCCAGCTGCTTCCTGATTGAACCCGGGGCCGGGCAGCTTGTTCCACCCCCCCACCCCCCTCTGTGTAAAGTACTGCCTCCTGTCCTGACTGGAGGATCTCACCCAGCTGTGTCTTTGGGAGAAGCCGGGGTGTTGGCTTCAGCAACATGGCTGGGCATCCTCCCACA